AAAAAAAAAAAAAAAAAGAATCGAAAACAATCGTTTTTCTTTCTCTTCCTGTTAATCAGTGCTCGCTAAGTTAATCGTTCGTTAGCTACGCGTTTACATATAATATATTTATATATATATATATATTATACGTCTTCAGTCCCTCACAAGTTTAAACTCTACGCAAACGATCTACCCTTCCTTCGTCCTTTCTTTCGAACGACTCGCTTAATTGCACGAAAATTAACGACGTCTCGACGTTTATTCAACCCCCGATTTTCCACCATTTTTACACAGCATTCTCATGGAGCTGGAAGCATACCTCGACGGAAGAATCGCGTTTCCGTTTTACCGATTCACGGTCGACCCGTGCAGCAGCGGGTGGCCCGGGATATCTAGTCGATTTTCATCCGATTTTCATCACATTCCTAACCGATTTTCACCCGATTTTTATCATATTTCTAATCGATCTTTTAATCAGATTTCTAACCGATATTTATCAGGTTTCTAACCGATTTTCATCCGATTTTTATCGGATTTCTAGCTGATTTTCATCCGATTTTCACCCGATCGAGACGCGTAATTAAGCCTCCTTTGCCTGTTGCGACCTCTGTCTCATCTATCCCTTCTTCCCCCACCCAAAGTCTACTAGAGAAATATCTATCTTACGTAGAAAAAGTCCTCGTGCGCACTGTCGCGCCGGAGAGAACTTCCGGTTGCGGCTGAGGATCACTTCCGTCCTACCCTTCCTCTTTTATAGTCTATCCTCATAGTAGGTAATTATACGGGGTTTTTATGGGTGGTCTGGAAGCGATACAAAAGGGGCCGTGGGAGGTTTCGCATCTCCGAGCGTGAGTTTTACGGGGAGAATTGATTTACGGATTTCGAGGTTAGGTTAACCGTAACCGCCATTTTTCCACTGCATTTGGAAGAGATGGAATCGGGTGTCCGGGATGTCGCTGATGAAGGGTTGAAATTATTTTCTACGCTCGCTACTATTCAAATTATATCACTCTTAATAAATTACTACGCTGCTAGTTAAGTAACAAATTATCACGAGATATGCAATTAAATAGTCTATCTACTTGCTACGATTAAGCGAAACGTCGGATTCCCATTCGCATTAAGGTAACTATCCCTAGGTTATTATTACGATTAACATTCGAATACTCGTCCACGTGAGAACGTAATTGCTATTGTTCGATCCTCGTCGATATCACAACTATCACTATAAAATACAAAATACCTAACTAACGTGTTTATTTAGAATTAAGTGTTTTTTCTCTTTGATTTTTCCTTCTCTTTCTTTTGTTCTTCGTTTTTTTTTGTTTTTTTTTTCTTTTTTTCTTTTTTTTCATTTAATTTGGGAACGTGATCCCAGCCGCAATGAATTTCGACCGGCTGTCGTGCGGACGATTTTTTAATGCACTTTCGGTTCAAGGCAGCTCGAGACGCTATAGAAAATGTTTCTGTGGATGCCCCGAGAGAAATCGGCGCGACGCGAGCTCGACGTTGGGACGCCATTTTGAGCGGAAACCCGGTTGGCTGGATTTTCCACCAGCTAATCGCGGAATCAAGCGATCACCAGGCATTGCGAGGAATTATTTCTCTTAATTTTCACAAATTTCACGAATTTCTCTATTTTATTTTTCGCAATTAATACTACCAAGCTTAAATTTAAATTTGGAATATTGAAATTTCGAATAATTTAAATTAGGAATGTCGAAAATTAAGTTTGATCTTAAATGTGATTGCCTAGCACAAAAATTTGAATTTAAATTTGAAATCTACGCCTTAAAATTTGGTAAATTCCGATTAATAAAATAAGTCTGATAATTTAAATTTAAATATAAATTGGAATCTGTGCTTAAATTTTAAATTAAGAATAATCTTTCCTCGCGAGTTCATTCTTGGAAGCCGACCTAACCACGACCTTTCACCCCATTGGGAAGACCTAAAGCTACTTTGTAATCTTTCTACCCTAATTGGCACTCTACTCTATTTGCACCCTTGAAATCGTACGCTGATAATCCTCGAATCACGCATTTTCTATTAACTCTACAAACTCTACGCAACCAAATTCGAATATTCATTTACAAAACTATCATATTCCAACCACCCCTCATCACAATCTAAAAAAGAAAACAAAAATCACATTATAAGCAACAAAAATAAACTTCCTAAATATACAACTCTTTCTCAAATTTAATGTAATACTCGAATTTTCCAATACGTGATTCTCGATCATCAATTCCTAAAAATCTCCTACAATCCTCAACGAATGAAACTGAAAAATCACCGTGAGAAGTCCGTTCGCGGTAATGTACGTATCCCGAACCACCCTGGTTTCGTTTCGTTATAGTTTCCCCGCGAAATTTGAAATTTCTTCATTTTTCATCCCCCCATTTTTCGCATGTTACGTTATTAATCGTCGGCGTCGAGTGCCCGCGCGTCTTCGTTTAACAAAATAAGAACACGAAGTCTCGTTACAATCCCTATTGGCATCGAGGAAAGTATTAAAATCCCTTATACACCTATCGCGGTCCCTTCCATCCCTTCGCGCGAGCCACCCTCGAAGGAAGCTCTAGATATTCGCCTATGGTACAACAAACCTAAGCGCCTAATCGTTTACAGCACATCCTTTCCACGAAGGTACTAACAAATCAATCGACGAACACTTCTCGCGAGAAAACGAAGTATCGGTAAGGGTGGTCGGCGAAGGGCTCGAAGGGCGTGTGCAAAAATCCTCGATCGATCGGATCTAGGGCTCCAAGGATCGATGGATTCGGCTGTCTCTCTGCCCCTGTGCGTGATGTAACAACTATGAATGGCCAGGGTGGAACACTCTCTCGTGAATCGTTCGCGTTACAGTCCGCCATTTTGTTCTTCAAATTCCAAAAAAAAAAGAAAAAAAAAACAGAATATTTCATCGCGTATTTTTGGTTTGAGAAACAATTTTGATCGAATGGTGGTAATAATGGTGGTAACAGGAACGACCGGCGGAGTAGTTATTCGAATGACAAAATGGAGGGTGGTCCACCCCTAGCGTGCGTTTTACGTACCCTATTCGCCTCGCGTCGGATCAATATATATATTTACACTAACGAATCGTCCTTCTCCCGTAGTAACCGTAGTCGTAAAGCGATTAGTAGTTTAGTTAGTGAGTGTGTTAATAGTAGTCAGCGATAGCAGCGCCCTCTTGCTCCTATAGCACACGGTGTGCCTTAATATTTGAGACAGGCGGTGTAATAGTAACAGCTGTATGCGGTCGTCCTTCGTTTTACAATTAATAGTTAAGAGTAGCGGTAACATAGTAGTAGTTTAGCTTACAATAGCGCTGTTATTAATTAATAGTAATAGTAGTAATAGTGGTAGTAGTGGTAGTAATAGTAGTAGTGGTAGTAATAGTAATAGTATTAGTGGTAGAGTAGTGGTGGTGCTGTGATGGTAAAGTGGTTTCCCCATTTTTCTCTTCTTTTAGTGGCGGTGCTGATGGCGATGGTGGTGGTGATGGTGGTGGTAATTGTGGTACAGTAATAGTTACAATAATAGTAGTAGTTTCTTCCCCCTCGTAGTATTAACAATATAGTTGCAGCGGTATTTATCGTCGCCTCGTAATAGTGTTAGTAGCGGTAAGAAGCAGATTTTATAGGAATAGTAGCATCGTATCGCCGCGTTTACCTCTCTTGACTCGAGTCTGTGTAAACCTTACGCCTGGTTCTCATTAACGCTAGTTTATCGATAACGCTAGTCTCAAGTTCTTTGTACTATCACTACGAACCGATTGACAGGGTGCCTCCATTCCTCCCATTTTACCGCGACTTCGACTTGACCCTGGACCCATCCTCTTCTCTCCAATTCCTCTTTCGAGTTCCCTCACCGCGTTTTCCCCTCCTACACCTCGGTACAACGGAGGTCTAGGTACCGAGCGATGGTGATCGGTTACATTCACGCAAATATAAGATCCGGGGCTCCTAAAGGAAGATCGGCTCCTAATGGATCTCTGATAAACTAGGTACAACGACGCCCAAGCTCTACAAAGGAAAGCCACTCGCAACGAAAGCTCTGGATTCTAGAGGACTGTTAGTCACTACGAAGATGTTAATTCCCAAAGGCACGTAGAAGCACGGACAAACGATCAGGGGAGGAGATACAATGAAAAAGTGAACCACTTGGCTGTGAACGATCGCCATCTTATTTCTCGAATGGTCGATGGTAACGGAACAGACCGAACTAAGTTGAAAAGCAACCGCTCGTGACAACGTGGAACCTTCCTTTTCCTTTCTCCGTTTGTCGTAACGACGAATGGGGCGCGAGTCAATCGAGTTCCACGATCGTTGGATCCAGTCGTCGCTAATGGGCAGGGACGCCACGCACCCTTTCAACCTCACTCGAAGAGAGAAAGAGAGAAAAAACAAAAGGGACTCTCGTGAAACTTTACACAAACCCAGAAAGAACCACCTCGAAGAACTACCTGATCGCCTAGCGAGTATATTAAGCGCATCTTAAGGGGTTCCTTGGGAATCGCTATCTTAGGAGTTACAAAGTGGACAGGTCGCCCCTCGTGCTTGTGTTTCAACCCTCGCGCTGCCAGAAGCGGATTTCCTTCGTATAAAATAGACAACGTTTCGGTATCCTTCGCACGATATTCTGCCAACGTTCATTTTCTTACTATTTTCGCGGTATCGTAACATCATCGAGGTTTTGATATCGTTGATCAGAGACCTAAAGAAAATGGTACCCTTTAATTAACAAGACTTCGTGTTTCCTTTGATCTTTCTTTACAAGCTGGCAGCGGAAGAGTTCTATTCGAAAGAAAAAAAAAATAGAAAAAAAATAGAGAAAAAGAAAAACATTCGCCTCGTATCGTCAGACACCCTCATTTAACGTACAGTCGACGGAAAGCACTTTTGGACAATATACAATATTATAGTTTAGGACCTTCGTTGTCGTCGAGTTCGATGTTACATTATCTCGTTGCGCGACGTTACACTAAATTCCTAAGTTAATAACTATAGATCTCTCACTATCTCGAAACATCGTCCTCTCTTCTCCCAATTTCTTTTATAGTCTCGTTTTAGTTCTCTTCGACTTTCTCCTCCTCCTTCTCTTCCTCCTCTTCGTCTTCAGTTTCTTCCGTCTTCGTCCTCTCATTCACGCGCGCCATTATACCGTTTAATCGTCGTGGTGAAATATCTTGTAATTAGTTAACCGCTTAATTTATCCATAGTAATCAATATTAAATATTCACTTTGTTTCTAACTAGCAGCCTCTGGTGACTAGTCCGCGCGACTAGTCCTTCTCTCTTTTTTCGTTTTCCTCTGTGTTTCTTTCCACTAGTGTCAGCACTAGCCTGAGCATTAGGCGATTAATCAACGATACAATTATAAAGTTATCAATTATCGTTACTGTTAATATTATAATTAATATTATTATCCGTGGTTCGTGGACCGGTTAGCTTTCGTTCTGACCGATACTCGTCGATCGGATCCCCTCGACCTTCTCCCTATTTTTCTCTTATTCATTTTATATATATATATATATTTAATCGCCAGTTTTCGACATATTTTCCCTTTTTTAAAAATGTTCCATTTCTCGATCATCGAAGAAGAAGCTTCCTTTGTTATCTCTACACCTGTTCACGTGTCGTCTAAACAAGCATATGTACGTGTGCGTACGTGTCTGTGTTCCTTCATAAATATTATAAAAAAATATAATAGAAAATTATAATTTCGTTATAATATTTATAAACTACGAAATTGGCACTAGAAATTTTTCTTTTCTTCAATCTCTCCGTTCCCTTGTATAATCTCCACGTTAAACCCTTCCTCGAAGAGCGCAACGAATTACGTTTCTCTTTTCTCCTTTTACTCCTACGCCCGTCCTTCTTTTTTTTTTTTTCCTTTTTTCATATTATTTTTCGCATTACCACGCAGAGACGCGACTACTCTAACGTCCTCTATAATTTTACAAAATACCACGGAGCGTGTATGTACAGAAACACGCGTCCCGGAAGGGTCTCGAAGCAGGAAGAATAGGAAACAGACGGTCGTTATAAAATCGCGCGGAAAACGATACCCTACTCTAGTATTTCCATTCGTTCGTTCTCTGCCCGTTCTTCTTTCGTTCTTTTCCCGTTTCGTTGTGTCTTTTCCGATTTTTATTCAATGTTGAATCGTCTGCGGATTTTATCGGTCGACGGAATCGATCGGCGACAATCGGAGACCTTTCAATTAGGAGACGAAATGAGGGGTCCTTACTCACGTCCGTCGAGGACACTTAAGAGAGAGAGAGAGAAAGAGAAAGAGAAAGAGAGAGAGAGAGAGAGAGAGGGGGGGGGGGAAAGAGAGAGAGAGAAAGAGTTAGAATTTAACAGCGCGTCGAGAGAGAAGAACGACGCTTCCGGTGGCGCGGAAGTAATAATTGACCGAAACGTTGACCCCCAGAGGGCTGAAAATGCCTTTCGTTCCTCGCAGAAAATTTAGTTTTCCAAATTTGACAACTCATCAAATTCCCATTAACGTATTCAAACGATCACAACGTGAACGAAAAGTTACAGACAGAGATTATGAGAGAGAAACAATTTTAAAAGCCTCATCTATACCTCGTGTATCAATAAAATTGTCTTAAGATACAATTAACGATTCAAAGAGCATGCTAATAGTCTAATAGATCATAACTGATGTCTAAGGATCGAAGATCGATTAGAGAGTCGGTGAGAAAGGAAGTGAGAATTGCAGAATTGTTAGATCTGGAAGCGACAAAGGCACCAAACCTCAGAGGGTCAAGAGCAAGCCCCGCGTGGTCGCGAAGCCAGGACCTAAACCCCGGTTCAGCCCCCCTCGACACAGCAATGGCGGAGGCCCCGTTCGCCGGAAGCGTCACGAACGTTCCCTCGACGCGGCCCGCTTAAACTACGATCAGACTCTCAGGCACTCGATTCTCCGCAGGCTTAGGTCGCGAAGCTGAACACGACACGAGGAATCCTGGCGATTCCCCTCCGGCTCAGGGTAATTATCGTACGCGCCGGTGAGTAACGACCCCGTGGAACATGCGAGCTTCTCGACGCTTTCCGCTCTAAGCCTCCAGTGTCACGGGGGAGACTTCGGTCTGCCGCTCTTGTCCTGCATCACTTGTTGCTGCTGCTGTTGCTGCTGCTGCTGCTGTGACGGTTGCTGTTGCTGAGGGGGCTGTTGAGGCTGTTGCTGAGGCTGCTGGGACTGTTGATGGTGGTGCGAGGTTGGGTCTGTTGCCACACCTAGATCTGTGCCCATCAGGTTACCAGCGCCGCTCTTGTCCACCACGCTGCTCGTGTGCACCGGGTGGAAGTACCGTTCTGAAAAATTGTAATTCGAATTAATTTATCTGCAATTACTTAACGAGGATGATTTATCCAAGTTTACAGACCTTCGTCCATAGCGGAGGGGGGTTCGCTGGCAGTCCCAGTGATGATTGGCGCGATCATGTTGTAGTCATCCTCGAGGTTGATAAACGGCGCGGTGTTCCAGCGAGGGGGCACGTTAGAGACCGATCTCTGGGTGGCCACCGGCCTCGTCACCGAAACTGGCGACGAAAACAGGGAGAGGTTCGTCGGGGAGATCACCCCTGACATCGAGCTGATGGTAGGATACGTGAATATTTGCTGCAAGCAAAGAGTCCAGGACATGAAACCTTCACGGATCACCTAAAATGCTTCTAGACACCCTGCTACGTGCCAATCTTTTATTTTCGATACCTTCCTAGCGTCTTCCGACATTCCACATCCGTCCAACTTTTGTGTCTCGAACAGTATACAGTTTCAAAATATTTGAGGTATAGTGCGTTCGAGACAAGAAGGCACAGTGTGTTTACATCATCGATGATGTTCGTCACCGTGTTAGACTAATAGCGATCATGGCTGTGATCATGGGAGTATTAGCGGAGCTAACCAGCCGTGAGGATGTAAACACGCCGAGCCTTCTTTCCTCGAACGCGCAATAACAATACGAATATTCCTAACCTAAAAGTACTCCGAATATTTCCTGGTTGCAATAGAAATTTGCAAAAATTTTTTGACACAATTATAAGAAATTATCGTGATTGGAAGTAGACCCACCTGTCCAGGTTGAGAGTGAAAGTGAGCAAAGGTGTACTCCCGGCTGGTGTGCGGCGCAGTGACGAGGATCCTTGCTGGGCTCTTCCTTCCGGCCGGATCGACGGAGCTCTGGCAGCCGGAACTGACCAGTCCCACCGCTGCCGCGGCGGCCATTTGCTCCTGATTGGACGCCAGTTCGGCTGGGTCCGTGGGCGAGGTCGACGAGGTGGGGGGCGAGTTCGAGCTCGTGGCCGTCAGCTCGCCTGTCGACCTTATAATGGCGACGGGCCTCGCCATCGGGGCCGGCGGCGGGGGCGGCAGCATCGAGCTCGGATAATACTGTGAGAACTTTTGTATACCAGTGCGGGGTCCGGCTAGCTGCGCCTGGAAATACCACACACCCACCGATCAACGTCGTCGACCCGCGCGTGATCCATTCACCCCGTTTTCAGTGCCTCCACACTTCTAATTTATTCTTCGGTCCCGATTGGTTACTCGACTTTTCGTTCAATCGATTTTTCTTTCCCGATTTTCTATGCTTTTCGTTCGCGCTGAATCTCCCGTTTGCGAGAATAATGGGAAATAATTCAGAAGGGATCCTTCGATCGAACACGTTCCTCGCATTTTCTGTATTTTATTATAAATAATTTCCTAATCGTGCGAATATAACAGAGAGCGAGTTTATGTTCTTAGTGTTCCGTATTGTATATTAAAAATTAGAGTTACTTTTACAGCAATGAATTTCGTGTCTTGCAAATATTTGAGGTTATGTCGTACGCATTAGTTAAAAAATGTTGCGGAACGTGTCGAACAGTACATAGCTGAGAATTGTTCACTTCTGAAACGCGAAAATATCGCGTTGAAAATTGGAATTTTTCATGATTTGTGTGAATAATCGAGCATCGCAAACGTGAGGTGGGAGGATATTGTTCCGTCGGAAATCCGGCTGCCGCCATATTTCTCCAATTACACGGCAATTTCAACGAACAATTTACCGACGAATCGAATTCGAAAAATCCAGGGCGATTGGAACACGGATGAGGTTGCAGGTCGGACCAGAACCGCCCCGTTATCTCGTTCGTTCCCACGTGAAAAACGATCTTCTCGCGATTCATCGAAGAGCGTGTTTTCACGATCGGAACTCGGACGGACAATGCGGCGGGTTTAAAAAGGATCCGGAAGCTACCTGGGGCAGTTGCTGGGTATTCTCGGCCTCCTGGCAGACGAACGTCACGAAATCCGACAGGGTGTCGTGACCGTTCTCGGGGTACTTCACCACCCCCGCGGAGGCAGGGTGCTCCGGCTGATAGTAGGCGAGTCCGGACATACTTTGACCGGAACCACCGGCCAGTCCTTCGTGCGGAGAGTGCAATCCTGAAACACAATTCACCACTGTCATCGTCTGACTGTGTGGCCGGGGCCACGGCGAAACCACCCCCTAAATTCGACGCTTCTCTGCACGAATCGTCTCCGTTCAGCAACCCCTTCCACCATTTTATCTTCCTATACATCGATAATTTCCAATACTCTAGACATCAATTTTATTTCGAATTTCTTTAACCTCTTATTCCTACATCTTTCGTCTCTTTTTTCTCGATAATTCCTCTTTTCTTGTACTATCCCTTATCAGAAAATTGAACCAGAGTCGAAGACCGTGGAAAATTCGGTTAATTAGGTAAACTAGCCTCCGGGAAATCTCGTTGTCCGGTAATGGTAATTGTTAATGCGGAGAATGTTAGTAAAGTTGGAGCTCGTCGCGGGAGCTTAGCAGAAGAGGGAGCAAACAGAGGTAACGATTGCTGCTGCGAGTCTGTTAGGGGGTGGTTTTAGTGGTACTTCCGAGGGAGGGGGTCGACCAACTATAACGATCGTGTTAAATATATATATATATAAGGCACTCCAAGCGTGAGGCTGGCTGGCTGAAATGTACATGTATTTATATACCAGTGTACGCGTGCGCGCGCGCACACACACACGTGAGCGTGTCTCCTCGAGGTCTTTTAATCTTGTACGTTTATTTCGGACAATGGCGAACACTATCGCGGGGAAGAACCGTGTTACATCGAAAGGGTAGTTGCACGATGCTCTTTGATATTGCGCGCGCGCGCGCGCACACACACACACGTATATCACGCAACATGTGGTTATATACATGTATGTATATATACATATAGATATGTATATATATATAGAATATATAGGTATATATAGAGAGATATATATAGATATATAGTGCAACAACAAACATCAAACAGCAAGATAACAACGATTAAACAACACATCAAAAAACATCAAGGTAACAACAACATCAACATCAATACAATGATATACATATATATGCGGTGATATATATGTATGTAATGTATGTATATATATATATGTATATGGTAAACAACAACACCAACATCGCAACAACAATAGAATATATATATATATATAGATATAGGTAGTATCGTACGGAGAGAGAGAGACAGAGAGTGACAGAGAGAGAGAGTAGAGCAATAAACAAGTCAAGTCTCAATCAAGGTTCGAAATTAATTGAATCAATCAATCGATCAAGCCAATTAATTCAGTCAATTAATTAGTCAATGAATTAATTAATTCATCCAGCATACGACATACCCAGAGCATTGGCCGTGTGACAGTGAGTGAGAAATAGAGATAATATAATGGTGTGCACGGTTCAACGGGGGTACAGTCTCGATCGTCCGGCCTGATCTACGCATCTCGTGAAATTTCGACATTTACATCGATCGATGAATTTCCGTATTTGGACAATCGATACAATTTCTCGAGAATCCCATGGAATTCTATTTCTGATCATTGTCCCGAGTCCCAAATTTCTTTTTTACTTGGACTTTTTGAAAATTTAAAATCGCGGTCGATGGAATACTAATTTTTATTTTTCACGATTTTCGAGAATTCTCCGCAATGCTTTACTAATTTTTGGAAATTCGAAATTACGATCGCCTAATTTTCCAACATTCCCTAGAAATTTATTTCTAGGGAATGCTATAATTTTGCCGATTGGAAGGAAAAATTTCGAAATTTAAAAATCCAAAAAGATTACTTTCGGCTATCAATTCCAAATTTGAAGTCACGATTATTAAATTATTGTGAGCAAAATTTCCCACAAATCGATTTCCATAGAATACTCGCGAATCAAAATTACGCACGTATCCCCGAAAGACTAGATTCCTGTCCCCCCCCCCCCCAAGCCCGATGTTCGAAAAACTAAATTCCACGAAAATTTCGAAGCCTCGCGTTTCCAACCGAGAGTTCCCAATCCGGCTCGAGGCTGTACCCTTAAAAATAGTAATACGTGAACAGGTGGGTGTAACAGGGTGGGCAGACAGACAGACAGACAGACACAGACGAACAGACAAACAGACAGACAGACAGACAGCGACAGCTAGCTTACCAGGTAGACCGGTACTACGCAGTTAGCAAGAAATGCCGTCCGTCTGTCTGTCTGTCCGTTTCCAAGCCCCGGAATCTCGTATCCCCTTTACGGCCGGTGTTCCACCACCGATTTCTCAACTATACCCCGCGAATTACGCTTCGAGATACTCAGGGACAGGGGTCTGGTCAACTACCGACCAATCTTTTCATCGACGTCATCGTCGTCATCGCCACAGTCATCTTCGTTTCTTGTCTCTTTCTTTCTTTTTCCCCTTCTTCTTTCGGTTTGGTAACGGACAGGTCAGTCAGACGGACAGGCAAACGGGGCGGTTAGAAAAATATACATATATATATAGATATTATACACATATGTTACTATACATACACAGGTGACCAGGAATATCGTAGGTCGTACTTATTCCCAAATAGAGGCACACAAAAACACCAGTTTCGTTAGAGAGTTATCGATTTTCGTCGGTTTCATGGGGGATGCATCAGGGGGTTGCGTTTACTCGTCGCTGCAGCGCGTAAGCGGTACTGCTCGTTCGGGGAAAGGAGGCACAGCGTGTTTACATCCTCACGGCTGACCAACGCCGATTGACCAACTTCCGTCAGTCGACGATCATCGACACCCTTGGGCTAATAGCACCCTATTGCCTGTGATCAAGGGAGAATCAGCGGAATTAATCAGCCCCGAGGATGTAAACACGCTGTGCCTTCTTTCCTCGAACGCGCTATACAAGTTTCTGGCCGCCATACTCTTTTTCGCGTGGAAGGTATGTACGTCGGGTATGGGACACTTAAATGTCAGTAAGTGTCCGGTCCCGGACACTTACGACTCCTCGACATCGGTCTACTCGGATGGAAAACGTGAATCGGTAAGTTCGGCTTCGGGAGACTCTTTGGAGAACGTGTACGAGATTCTGCGATCATTTTTCCTGCTTCTCTCGCGCCGACAATTTTTTCGGAACGTCTTATTTCGAGATACACAGGCTGCGAATGTTCCAACAATTTTGTTTGCCACGGGGATGTAACGATATGAAAAGGAGTGATACTTTTCGCGAGACACCTTGTATATATAGGGAGTCCCAAAATTCGCGCGACAAAGTGTTGCTAACGAAAGGGAAAAGGCAACGTGAGAAATGACAGATTAGGGTTATTAAAAATGGAGCGCTATATGAAGGAACAACGTGTCTTCGTTGTCGAATAATTGCGAATTTTTAATTGAAAACGAAGTTTCGTATCGAAGTTGCTTCTTGCGTGAATTTTGGAACACCCGGTACCTTTGCAGGATTTTTCTAAAAAAAATTGCGAAGCGTGGAATTTACTTTTTGGCAGTGGAAGAGGTCCGATTTGAGTCAGGCATCCCGAGTTTGAACCCAATGACTATAGATTCATTCCGTGACCAATCACGATGAGTCTGGACTCGAGATATCTCGTGGTAGGCAGTGAACGGGTGAAACGAAAGGAAATTCTAGAGATTCTAGTGACATTTTGGTCAGTTTTCCGCTTCTAAGTCGGTCCCGACTGTGCGTACCAGATGCCTGAAAGCGCAAGCTTCAGGAAAGCTAGAACCGAAAAGACTATCCTTATTCACCCTTCGGGACTATGGTACATTCATTCAGCTGATTCAATTTCGTCGGCGCTGGTCCTCGAAATTGAACCGTTAAACTAAATAGGCAGCCCTTCCACCTCGACGTTCAGAAACAGGGAACGAAATAAAAAGTAAATACAAAAAAAAATGGAAAAAAATTATCAGCACGCCTACCAAAGACAGCATTGCGCGAACAATCGTGCACACAGCTGCAGGCGGCTATACAGAACGGCGCAACAATTATTACAAGTATACATATATACATCTATTTCAACCGTGATAATTATCAGCGCACGTGGTCGGTGATTAGCATCGAGAAGATACACATATATACATATCTATTGATAATAATTGCCGCACAAGAATAGGTATACGCATATACACGCGTGTATATGCGCGTACATATGAGTAATACATATACAGGGTGGGGTATTTCAGTGAGGAATATCTAAATATCACGACTTATGACGCTGTAAGAAAATTCTTGGGGTCAATGTTACACTGTTTGAATGGTAATGGTAAATGAATATATGATGACTGACCTTTCCAAGTTCACCAATGATTTTTTAAATTTTTTGTCTGTTTATGTTAATGGTGGGAACAGTATGTTTTACAAGGTCGTTAGATTTGTCTTTACATTTCCTATAAGTATATTGAACAAAAATTACAGGGTGTCGTTAAAAAAAATATCGATGACCTTCAATTCTCGTAAACGAATGACCTTGGAAAGGTGTGAATGTTACCATGATGTTTGCCACTTGAAACAGTGCAACTTTGTCCCCAAGAGTTTTTTCACAGCGTCACAAATAAGGGAGATATTAGGTGTTGTTTCTCGTTCAAATGCCCCACCCTGTATATAGATATATGTGTATATAAACAATTATGTGAGATGCAACACCGAATGCTAACACACATATGTATATAATTCTCATAATGGGCTAACATAGAACATTCTTGCATTCCCGGTTCCTCGTGTCGCAGCGGTTTACCGTATCACAATCAGAAGTCACGTGGATTTCTCGGGGATCCCCCTGTAGTGGACAAACACGACCCTCGAATTAGTCCCCTTTCTTCTTCATCCGTACCCTCTCTTCCCTCTCTCTGTCACCGTCCCCCTCCTCGACGCCGCATCGTCGAATGTCGAGGACGGGAGAAGATCGGGATCGAATCTTTTCGTCGACAATTCTTTGAAACGTCGCCATTTTTATTCTCATTGTAAATTTATTTTGGTTTTATTCATCGTTAAAATGGAATTATTAACTTTTCAATCACCGTTAATATCACGGGTCAAAGAATTCTCGTTTTCGTCACGAACGTTCTCGAGAGAGGAAAGCTTCCATTTCTACGTAGGCGCTTCCGAGGGGTACACTGGCGCCAT